TAAAACAATTGCTATATACGCGTTTGACAAAGGAACAGGTTTTGTAAGAATTGAACATTCTAAAGCTTTGGAAAAATCCGTAAACAAATTGGTCCGACAAAAATTATTAGTAAAGACCCTACTGCCAGTTACGCGGCAAAAAATAGAAGATTTCTTTTAAAAATTAATAAAAAACAGCGTTTTTCTAAAGAGGAATACGAAAAAATATATCCAAGTGATCCTATCCCTCCTCGATTATATGGAGTGATAAAAGCTCATAAACCAGAAAAGTCGTACCCTATGAGAATAATTATTTATACCATTGGCACACCAAACCACGGAATATCAGAGTTCTTAGTGAAAACAATATAGCCAGTCTTAAATAAAAATCCGACACGATTAAAAAACTCTTTAGACTATATAAAAAAAGCAGAAAATTGGAATGTCGCTAACAATGATATTCAAGTCTCTTATGATGTTGTAAATCTCTATCTGTCAATTCCGTTAAAAGAAGCCACCGTTATACTTATAGAACAGTTAAATAACAGTTTATCATATAAAAACTTAACAAAACTAAGTATACCTAAAATAAAACAACTCATAGAACTTTGCTTATATCAATGTTATTTTCATTGGAACAATGAGATTCACATAATGGAAAACTCAGGTCCAATCGGACTTTTTTTCATGGTTATTCTCGCGGAGTCTTTTCTACAATTCCATGAAAATAATGCAATTAAAATGGCTTTGACAATGAATCCTGCACTTAATCTAAAATCATTTTTAAGATACGTTGACGACATTCATGCAAGATTTGCTAACATCGAACAAGCAAAACAGTTCCATGATATTTTAAATCAACAACATCCTGCAATACAATACACAATTGAAGTTGAAAACGAGACAAAAACACTTAACATTTTTATGATATAACCATTACAAATAACACACTAGGAAAATATGAGTACAAAGTATATCGAAAAGAGACAATCACTAACATTCAAGTTAAACCGCATTCAAATCACGATCCAAATATTTTAACAGCTATATTTAAAGATTTTCTCCACAGAGCTTACTCCATCTGTAGTAAGCATTATTTTCAAAATGAAATAAATTTTTTAACTGACATGTTTGTTGAAAATGGGTACGATGAAAAGCTATTGAGGAATATTACACACCAATTTCATCGAAAAAGACAAAATAAAAACACAATTCCATCAGAATACAATAATCTTCCTGTAGTGTCTTTACCATGGGTACCAGCCCTTTTACCAAAACTTCGAAAAATATTCCGAAAAGCAGGGTACAGAGCAGTATTTGAATCAAATCCAAATTTAAGATCTTTATTAACATCAAAAACAAATCAAAACTACCAAGTAACAGCTACCCTGGAGCCTATATAATAAAATGCAACTGCTCCAAGGTCTACATAGGTGAAACAAAAATGCAGGTAAATACGCGAATGCATCAACATCAGAAGAGCATTAATGAAAACAAACCTAATCAATCTGCATTAGCATATCATAAAACCTTTTGCAAAGAAAATATTATTTAGGAAAAAACAAGAACATTAAAAGTAAAAAATAAAAAGTTTGAAAGAAAAATTAGAGAGGCACTAGAAATACAAAACAACATGTGCTCTGCACGAAACGGCGGAATTAATCTTGATGAAGGCCGATATGTAAAAACTATGTTTTGGACGCCGTTTTTAAAATTTAAAAACCAAAAGAAGCCATGCAACCGCTGACGTCAATAGTAACAATTTTATATAAACTATAACGATTAAAATTTATTGTAATATTTTACAAGCTGATGATGCTGGTATCCATAACCCAGCGAAAAGTTCTTACAAAATAAAATTATTAGTATTGAGAGAAACTGTATTTCTTGATGTTTTAAAATAATATATAATATACTCTTATACAAGATATATATATATATATATATATATATATATATATATATATATATATATATATATATATATATATATATATATATATATATATATATATATATGTATATATATATATGTATATATATATATATATATATATATATATATATATATATATATATATATATATATATATATATATATATATATATATATATATATATATATATATATATATATATATGTACGTTCTATTCCTTTAAAAAAACACAAAAGCTGAGAGCGGATATTTTTGTTTTTAAGTTAGAAAAAAATAAAAATTCATCTTTTTAACTTGAATATTTATTCAAGCTAAAAAGATCAATATTTTTTTTTTTAAATAAAAACAAAAATACCTAAAGTTTTAATTTAATTTATGATACAGAAAAATAAACAAACCGCAAGAAAGTTTTAGTTTTTTTATGTTTACATAATTTTAATGATGCATTTATTTGTATATTAACAATAAATGGCGACTTTAAAGCGGTTTACTTATGTTGATTTTTTATACTAATTTTAGTAAGATAGATTAATTAAGATAGCAACAAGTTTTAGCTATCTTTTTTTATGACTTATACAAATGGGCTTTTGTCCCTTTGTTTAAGTCATAAACAAAAAATTAAAAAGTTTAAAACCCAAATTTTAAAAACCTTTTTATATTGAATCAACTTAATTTGATTTCCTAAAGAAACAGAGATTCAATAAGAATATAAACTTATTTTATATAGTAGTATTTTGGAATCTCTTACCTAAAACCTATTTTTCTGATGTGCGTTCTAGAGATTTTATAAAAAGGTTGTAGTTATCATCTATTAGTTGTATTTCATTTTTATGATTCCTTTAATATTTGTATTGTACATCTATTATTCCTTTTCATGTTTATATTATTATTTAAAACGTGAAGTTTGAGTATGTATATGGTACAAATTCATATACTGTACAACTTTTAATGTTTGAAACTCTTTCTTAAAACTCTTATGTAAAACACTATAACTTTAATCACTCGTGAGTTCTGCCGTAGTTCTAACATCTCTTTGTCAAACTAATGGAGAATTTGAGTATCCGTTATAAAGGAAACTCTAAACAGCCGGTTTAAAACGGAGGAAAGTAAATGGTATTTTAATCCTTCCTTTTTGATTATATATATATATATAATATATATATATATATATATATATATATATAATATATATATATATATATATATATATATATATATATATATATATATATATATATATATATATATATATATATATATATATATATATATATATATATATATATATATATATATATATATATATATACATATATATTTTATATACGGTGTGGCTGTGGCTCTGTGGTTAGAGGACCTGCTTTATAAACAGGAGATTCAGGTTCGAAACGAGCTACTGGACATATTTTTGCGTCACGGTAAGGAAGGAGGCGTAAACTTCCTGGTTAAATGCACTTTTGCGGTGCTTTGTGACAAGACCGTTAGATCTTCTTGGGGCACCTAAAAATAATTACAACAACAAAAAAAATATCACAGTAATCAAATCACTTATATCTTACCATAAAAATTTTTTTATAAGTTATATCTTAACTTATATCACCAAATATCGTGCATGCAATACTTTAAGAGCAAAACTTGTTAATTTAGAGTATGTCTTTATTAAAAATCTGAAGGTATTTTGCAAGCCTTCGCACTTTTTTTGGTTTTGTTATATAAAAACTACTCATAACTATTTGCTTTTACTTTTTTTCTATTTTTAATAATTTTTTTTTATTTTAACTTTCCTATTTTTTGAATTTATCAAATGAATCTTCAAGAAAAGAAGCAACAATAATAATAAAGTTTTATTTGAGAAGCTACGATAATCACAATTTAGAATGATATGCTGCTTTTTTAATTTCCATCAAAGAATGTTGAAAGCTTTGCAACTCAAGTAGCTGTATGTTTATTTAAAACAAAATTATATTCTCAAAACAATAAATTTATAAATATAAAATCGGATCATCTAAAACTTTAAACTTTTTAAACTAAATAAAAAAAAAGAAAAAAAAGTAAATAATATTTCAGATGCTGCAGTATGGAATAAATAGTTTCTTTTTGACTTTACTAAATTTTTTAAATAATAATACTCAATTTTATAATTTTGAAAATAAGTTTAAAATTGATATCGTTATTTCTCAATATTTTTTTAGTTTCACTTATTATTATTTTTATTTATAAACTAATGTAACTTTATTACATTAGATTAGTACTCGCAAATTGATGGAGGGTTTTCTCGCAAATTGATGGAGGATCTTCTTGCCAAGTAATAGAGGGTTAGGATGAGGCCTTTCTTCTAACCATTCAATCCGTACAATTAACTAAGCATTCATTACAATATCTTAATATATGAAACAAAATGCTGAAAGGAAATCTTTCTTAAGTAAAGTTAAATCAGTGTCTTTATGTTTTTATTGCATAAAGTTGTATTGTAGTTTCAAACTTATGCACAGCTTTAACATGGCAACGTTTTCAAAAGGCGCGTGAGTATAGAAAAATAAAGAATTTTTGATTTTGGTTTACGCGAACAAGAATTACGAAACTATTTCGAATACACCCAGCATCTATTGCAACATTTAAGCTGAAAATTTTAATAAGTAATAATAGTTTCAATTTAACATAATAGTTTTATTTACACGATGCTGTTATAGAAACACATTAACAGACATAGGTGTGATACACTCTTTTATTCTTTAAATATATCATTTTGATATTTTATTTTTCAATAAAATTCTCTTTATTAACATTTACCGAATATTTTTGTATTCATAAGATAAATACGCATAAGCGCGATTGATTTTATTTGTAAAAAAAAAAAAAGAAAAAAAAATATTTGTCTAACTTTATATACTATTTTTAGTCTACCACAATTCATAAATTCATATATTATTTTTTTTTTGAATTGCAAACAGTGTATACCTGGTGTTTTTTAAATAGCTACTAAGTTTATGCAAATTATGCAAAACGTTTTCTTAAATAAATATTATAAAATAAAATTTTTGCATAATTTCCATAATTAATGCTTCATTTGATTAATAAGATAAACCTGTTTCTAAATATTGAAAAACTAGATTCTATAAAGAAAACTTTGATTTATTATGAAGCAAAATATATGCTTAAGATTAAATTTATTGCTTCTTTTACTTCATTATTTAAGAAGTTCAACAGCTCGTAAGTTGCTATTTTTAATTAAAAGTTATATGTTTGTATATATATATATATATATATATATATATATATATATATATATATATATATATATATATATATATATATATATATATATATATAAATTTATTGTTAATAATAATTTTAAATTAAAAGTCTGAAATGTATAAACCTACTAAACTACACACATCAGCAATTCATTGTGACTTCGAAATAATTGTTTTTTTTCTCTTAGATAAAACTTAGATTTATTCTTTAAAGTTTAATTTAATTTAATTATGATGAGGTATGTTTTGCTGAAAATGCCGAATTTACATTTTGCAGAATTTAGCGGCAAGGTTTTTGATTTTGGAAATTGTTTTGTGGCCATTTAACGTAATGAACGCTTTTGATTTTTGAACAATATTTCTGAATATTTTTGACACCATTACTTTTATACTATTTGTAAAACTATTTCTTTTTTATTATTTAAAACACATTACTTTATTTTGCTTTTTTAGGCATTTTCAATATATTCAACACTAATTCAAAATTTATCTTTTATTATACTTGAAAGTATTACTGTCACCCGTTTTAGATTATAACAGATGAGACCCTGGCTATTGTAGTGAACAGATTCAAAAGGCAACTCCGTGTTGACATACAAATTCATGTGAGCTCTATATTCAACAGGAATTGCCATTATGTATTAAAACTGATTTTAATTTTAGGTTTAAAGAATCAATAAAGCTTCTTTTCAGGATTGTATTTAATATTGAGTAAATTCATTACTTCATTGATTTCATGGCAGAACACGTATAACCTAATATTGCTACACTGCTGTACTCAAATAATGGTATTTTCAACATTTGCAGTGATCAAATGATAGCATTGCAACAATTACCAACATTAAATAACTTGGAAGTGTATTATTATGGGTTTTTCATTTATTGAAACCAAAAAAAGACCCTGAGTAGATAAAATAAGCAGCAACTTTGAAATAAAATCAACACATAATGTAACGATACCATTATGTGTTGATATATCACTGGAAAATCATACAAGTCTCCATTCTTCCTTGATTATCTAAAATACTAATACGAATAATGTACACTAGACCATATTTTTTTGAGAAACTAAAAATATTTTCTCCAAAAAAAAACTTAGGTTAAAGTTCATTTTACTGATCATGGTATTGTTAAACTTGTTAATAATATTTTTTTGGCGTTCGATAAAAATAAGGATACACAAGGTAATTAATTAGTCTTTAACGCAGTTAATCATAGTACTCTATTAAAAATCTCAGGAAACAACGAAATTAAAACACAAACTAACCTGGTTTAATAAATATATTTTTACTACACTACGTTTCTAATGATGGTAGAACTATATTGGGACCGTTTCTATTTTTAATTAACATTTAAGATTTATACAAATCATTTAAGAATTTAAATTCAATTTTATTTGCTGACTAAAATATACATTTAAGATTTATACAAATCATTTAAGAATTTAAATTCAATTTTATTTGCTGCTAAATAATTCAATAAAAATAAACAATCAGTAAACCTGAAAAAAACTATGTATACTTTTTTTTTAAAGCCTTTATCGGAGAAACAAAAGTCCCTTATGACACCTAAATTTTAGAATTAAAAACGAAATATTAAAATAGAAAACAAAATGAAGTTTTTGGATGTTCATCGAAAAAGAAAAAAAATTGCTTAAAACTTATATATCTTTCCTTTTTTTTTTAAAAAAAAAAATAACAAACCTTTCAACATAAAAAAAAGTATGCAATCAGAAAGTACCGTTTCTTACATTCAAAATCATTTTATAGTAATCTAAAATTTTTGAATGTTTATCAAATATTTATCAACGTTTAGTTTTTATATAAACTGTTTAAGTGCGATAATAAATAAACAATACCAAATATTTTCAAAACTTAAATTTAAAAATCCAGGACATTTAAAAATTTTGAAATATTATATATATTCACGGTTAAATTAACTTTAAAATCACAAAGTTTTTTATCTCCATTCCTCAGCAATAGAACATACATTTTACCTCCATTATATATAGAACAAAGGAATCAATAAATAATAAATAACATTTAAACGTTTGTGATATTAAATCTTATGAAATCAAAACAAAAATAATTAATTTAAATGAAGAAAACATAATTTTTTATTGCTTGATCTATATTTATTAAACTGTCATTAAAATATCAAAATCGTAAGTTTTCACTTTGTATGCAAATATTTATTTTAAATTGTTTCCTCAACACATACTAAAAATTGTTCAAAACTTCAAATTTTTTGTGCTAAATTTGCTACCATGCTAAATTTTTGATGCTTTTAGCAAGTATTGTTTTATTTAACTTAAGAAAATAATATAGCAAAACCACCATAAAAACATGTTCAAGATTATGATTTGGACTTATCAATAGCTTCTAGGCTTATCTTCTATGCTATGGACTATATCCATAGCAAAACAAGCTCTATATTATCTAGATTTGATCATAAATGTTATGCGCTGGTAAGATTGTTGCAATGGAATTAAAAAAAAAATAATCTCCGTGCTATAGTGGTTAGAACAGTCATGGTATAGTGGTGAGAGTTCTGCTTCTGAGCGGGAAGTCCGTGGTTCAAAGGCGGTTCTGGCCATTTATGCATCTTGGTAAGGATATAGGCATGAACTTTCTAGTCAAATGCTACTCCACAGTGCACAATGACTAGACTATTAGGACTATTGGGAGCATTTAAATAACTGATTAAAAAGGCGTAAATTAGGAAAAAATTTCATAATCACTTTTTATACAAATAATCTAAAATAAGTTTTTCATTAAATGAGCTAATTATTAAAAAGGTATTTGTTAATAATATTTGCTGGCGTATCAAGTTAAAAATATTTTAAAATTTATTTTTATTTTGATTTTAATGTATACATACGGATTTTTAATTTTTTTCTATTTCTAATTTTGTATTTTTTAATAATTTTGTTTTATGATAATCAGTGAAAATTATATATATATATATATATTTTTTTGAGTTTAACTAAATTGAAAAATCAGTTTTTTATATTCTTTTTTTTAATTTTAATTTGTAAATAAAATAAATAATAAGTTTTAAAATAAACTTCGGAATAAAGTATTGTTTTTTTTTTTTGATTTTCATGTATGAAGTTACATGACACACGTGTGTGTTTCTATACTTATACAATGTTTAAGTATAGAAACAGAAAAATTTAGAGCAGAAAATTTTTTTTAGTGGAAATCCACCATTACAATGAAAATATATAAAACGAAACTTGGTGATATAGAATCCGAGGCTTGTGAAAATGGTGCTCGAACAATTTGTAAAAACTACACGAGAAGTTCAAGTATCAATAAATTTACATGTCATGTAAATATATAGATATTTAATTTCTTGTGGTTTCTACTAACAAAAAAATTTATGCTGAACGGAAAGGATATTATCCTAATCATTATAAAACAAAAAATGCCCCGCTCAAGTTTTTTTTTGTTACATGATTGGATATTTTCTTTTCTGTTCCGTTCTTCTGACAGAATTTTTTAATATCATGTAATAAAAATACAGCTACTTTTCAGTTCTGAAAAAAACAATTAAAAACTAATTTTCTTCAGCCATAAGCCTAATCAAACTGGATTTGTTATACATTTTGTTATTTATAAAACTTATATAATTTTATACTAATGAAATTATATTATACTAATCAAGTAGTATTATACCAATCAACTAGGAACAACTAAAATAAATCTGTTTTACTTGTTCCTAATTATTATATAATTACTTTTTTAAATAAAATGCATTTTATTTAAAAAAGTAATTATATAATAATCAACTATTTAGATTTAAATATTTTACTCTCTTAGAGATGTTCCTCACAAATGAGGAAATCGTCATAACTAAGGGCAAACTTCTAGGAACATTAACAATGCCTATGGAATATGAAGTATCTTTTAAACTTTATTTAAATTCAATTTTAAGTATTAATGCAAACGTAATTCACATTACTAATGGAGTTAATTGTTGCAGTTACGGAAATAGAATTGCCACAATATCTTTTAGTAATAGCTTGATGGCGGAAATCGACGCCCCAGTAAACGGCAATGGTAATTATTACTTTTACTCAAAACCATTATCACTTCAAAAATGGATAAAAATTACAATTAAACAGTATTTGAGTGATGCCAACTATTATTATACTGTTGAAATTGATGGCGAGACTTCCCATTTTGTAAAAAATACCAATCCTCAGGTGTTTCAAAATGTCAAACTTTATGTCAGCGATCCATGGCGTGCAGCACAACCGGGATACATAAGAAAATTGTTTATACGATGTCAAAGTAAGAAAGTTTCATTTGATTTTTTATATTTTATATATTTTTTACAATACATAAAATTGGATTCTTTAAACTTTAAATTTAAACTAATTCTAATATTGAACTCAAATCTCAAATTAAAGTATATTAAAAGTCGAACCTTTTTTATTTTATGTTGTTGCTGTTGTTATTTTGAAGTTGACATGAGCCTTTTGTTTTTTATATTTGTTTTAAATTAGTAATTACTTATTTTAGAGTTATTTGTTTATATTTTATGTAGTCTTGCATTAAATTTTGCAAGTTTATTTGTTTTTTACTGATAAACAAAATAAACGTTTCATTTGTATTAAACATAACAGCACTCAACTAGTGTCGTCATCTTGGCTGACTATGAACGCTTTTTTTACACTCTTTTAAACATATTTAAATACATTTTAATAATTACAAAGCAAACATACATTAAAGCCAAAAATTACCGAACAGAGTTTTATATGTAATTACAACAGAGTACACATACTGCATATGAAACCAATATTTCATGTGTTGAGCTTGTAATAATCATCTCGGTCAAAAGTTAGGCATCATTACTGGCGGTGATATGGTTTGCTGCATTTGTTGCATTGAATCTACAATTTTGGAAATGAAAAATAAAGATCTGGAAATATTTTAATCAAATCTTATTTAAAAAACCGTTCGTTTGATTTATGACGCTATAACCTTATAAGTAAATTATAATGCAAGATGCAAATTAAGTCTAGCAAGCGCTGCTGGCAGCGTCTCTGTAGATTATGAGCTTTTCTAAAAAAAAAAAAATATATACATATGGCGGAGAGAGATTTTATGTGTTTTTGGCTAATTTAAAAAGTTGCCTTATATATAATGGTCGCGACTAAAATGAAAAAAAGATAAAAAAGTCTGACCTGTATTAGAACGGAGAGAAGTTAACAACTTTATTAATATAGAAGAAATGTAGGTATGCGAGTTCATGTTTTAAAAAATCAGAGAAGCATGGCAAATAAACTAACATTATTGTATCTACATGAGACTTACCTTCAGTTTTTCTTTTTGGTCCTACTTCTGAAGTAGGACCAAAAAGAAATATGCTTATTTTCATTTCAAACTGTCTTCATTAAACGTAAATGTCTTAACACAGCTGTAGTTGTATAAGAGTTTTATGTTTTTTTTCTCCTTATAAGTAAACTATTACACGATTTACATTTACACCATAGTTTTTAGAGATAATTTTTTTATCACCATGATTTTTAGAGTTTTTTTAAATAATGAACTTATATTTAACAAGTTTATAAAAACACATTGAAAAACAAGTTAAACAAAGTAATCTCAAATTAAAGAAAAAACTTTATTATATAAATTTATTTAAAAATATGCTTACGAAAAATCTATTACAACTTGTGCTTATATTAAAAATCTAAAATGAAAATAGAAAAATGCAATAAAAATGAGAAATTAAGTTATGCAGTGTTTGTAACTAAATTTTTTAAAAAACTCATTAACAAAGAACATAAACAACATTAACTAACAAGTTTGTTTTTTACCTGGATCAGTGTAAAGTAGCTGAAAACATCTAGTGTTAGTTAAAATACTATTCTTTGATTTAATAACATGTCTGAATATTAAATATATACATGGTATGTATTCAATATTCAGACAACCTGAATATTGAATATATACCATGTATTGAAACCTATACTTATTATTTGAGAACATTACGGTATTAAGCAAACTCGAAACAGTTTTTTATGCTTACTATATTAATAAAGCATGGAAACTTAAATCATATTTTTGTTATCATTTACATTTTATTGTGAAATAAATTAGTTAACATTTAATTGATAAATACAAAATAGTTTATGGGTTTTATCTCTATTCACTCAATTTGAGTTCATTTGTTGCAACCAAGTTTTATTTACATGCCATTTATTTTATTTGTTTAGTTTTATAGAGGAACAAGGCCGGTGCAAAGGGGTTATGACACCCTAGGCAAAACTTCAAAGGTCGCACCCCTTTTACGTAAAAAAATCAAAATAAAATGCAAAATAAAGTGAAAACACCAGGTAAGTATTTATTTTTTTAAAAATATCAAAACTGTACTTTGCGTGCCTTTTTCTGGGCAAAATCGATCACAAGGTCCTTCAGGTCCAGCTTGTCTGCAAGTTTGTGTTCAATGGAAAGAGTTGCCAACCCAACCAATCTGTCTTGGCACATGGATGATCGAATGTATGTCTTTATCAATTTTAGTTTGGAAAAACTACGCTCTCCACTAGCGACAGAAACAGGTAATGTCAGCAAAACACGAAGAGCAATACAAAGGTTGTGTAGACTGTCTTCCAAGTTTTGGCAAAGAATAAATCGAAATACATCTTGAGGAGACTTTGTTTCTTCAGAAAGTCGTCGTGCAATAGACTGTAGTTCGCCAAACAAATCTGATGCAACTAAATCTCTGTTATCACCATGTTGTAAAGCAGATTCTAGGTTCATGCAACATTCCAATATTTCTTATGAAGTTTTACTCTGTAGACCATGAATATGATATAAGAAACCAAATACAGATTCAATTGTTCTCATTTGTTCAAACCTTTCTTCAGCCGACCTTATTGCTGCGTCAAGTATAGCAAAGAAAAAATTCACTTTGAAATTTTGTTTTGGATCTTGCACAGGCTCATCTTCAGCTTCATATGCAAATTGCTTTTTTCTCCGCCGTAATCGTGGTTCTGCCTCAAAGGTTGGTGGTATCTCCAAATCCTTAGCAATTTCAGCAGCATCCACTAGCGTTCTTGCAAAACCTATGTCACTCCTACAGTCAACCAAATAGGCTTGTGTGTGTTGTAACTGTTGTACATCAGCATGAATATCCAAATCTTTAGCTTGGAGCTGCTTACTTGTTATATTGATTTCAAAAAGTATGTTGTACCATACAACAATTGAAACCACGAACTTAAACTTTGCAACAATATTCGCAAGTGCTTTAGCATCACTGCGTGCAGTGCTTTCTGAGGATCCAGTTAGAGAAGTATCATCAGCTATTTCTAGCAGTGCATCATATATTTTACCAAGTTCATATCGCAAAGGCTTTATAGCATCTATTCTGCTTTCCCATCTTGTTTCACTTAGAGGTTTAACAGTTAACGTAGGTTGATGACTAGTGAAAACTACCCACCGATTTGTTGAAGACGAAAAAAATACATACACACGTTGGACAATATCAAAAAAACTTGTAGCCATTAGACAACAATTTGCAGCATCATTGACAACCAAATTAAGAGTATGCGCGCTGCAAGGAACAAACAATGCTCGAGGAATAATGTTTAATATTTTCTTTTGAACACCATTATTTTTGCCTATCATATTTGCGCCATTATCGTAGCCTTGGCCACATAAATTATCAATAGGTAACTCCATTTCTTCTAGTTGTTGCCATATAGGCTCCAGTTGTTTTCTTTAAAGGTACAAAGCCTAAAAAATGTTCTTTGATACTAAACTCCTTTTTCAATGAATCAACTTTAACAAAACGAATAATTATTGTCATTTGCTCAAAATGGCTACAGTCAGGAGTACCATTGAGAACTATTGAAAAATATTTCATTGCATTTGCTGTTTGTATGATTTCTTTCTTAATAGCATTTCCTAACAGTTGAATAAGTTCATTTTGTATATCTTTGCCAAGATAGTGTGTATGAAGCTCTTTATTTGATATCTTTCGTAGATATTCGTGGCTAAGTATTGCACAAATTTTAAAAAATTCCCGTTATTGGCACTGTACAATGTTTCATTTGTACCGCGAAAAGCTAGATTCTGTTCACCCAAAACTCTCACTAATGCTATTAAACGCTTTAGTATTTGCTGCCAATACTTTTCTTAATTCTTCATCTTGCGCAAAATTTCTGCATCTATTGTACTATCCCTCTGTAGTCGCTGATGTAGTTCTTTCCACTTTTGATAGTTCTGCAAATGTTCAGGACTTTTCTCGTGGGAAAAAAGAATTGCCGCCATGTTTTTCCAGTCACTTCAACCTGTATGAGTTAGTGATGATATGCCAATTGCTTTCATACTGAACAGTTTGCAACAGAAACAAAACACTGAGTCTTTTAATTCTGAATACAAGAGCCAGCTGCGACATAATTCTTCTCCATTAGGAATTTTTCTTATGTAGTGAAATACTGAAAACTTTCGATTGTTCTTATCATTTGGGAAACTGATATCTTTTATTTGCTGAGGTCCACGTTCTACAATGATTGCACGTGTATTATGATTAATTAGTAGAGGCCAAAGTGCTGGATCCTGTGAAATAACATTATCCGTTTTTTCTTCACTTGCTTGCTGTACATGTTCCTCGAGAGAATTATTCAATTGGCCATTATCTGCATGGGAAACGGGAACTGTTGAGTAAGAAAGTGTTTCACTCATCATCACATTATCATTATCAACAACATTCGATATTTCTTCAGCTTCCATATCAGTGGGAATCTGTCCACCATTACTATCCTCTTTAGTAGAGTCTTGTCGGCATATAAACTTTAGCAATGAACCCTTCTGTTTTTCTTGTTCCCTCTGCTGTTCAACTTTTCGTTTACGATATTGAGCTCCTGAAGGCTTCTTTCTCTCAGCCATACCTGAAATGTAACAAGAAAATAATAAAATAAATGAATGTTGCGATGTTTAACTAATACATTAATAGGTCTTCTGAGATTGGCTTCAATAATAAATTATATATAGCTAGCTATAGTTTCCAACAGGTCTGAACAGCTCTGTAAGGTTTTAACAGGTTATCATTTAACTGTATTATACAAAAAACAACTTGGCAAAGTTATACGTCCTGCTAGTATTTTTTGTGTTTTTTTAAACGGAAATGGAAGTTAGCTATATGAATGAGATTTCAATGTGTAATTAGCTGGTGCAGATCAAGACATATTGTAGAAGCGACTCAACAAAAAATTTAACCTGCTAGATGCATTGTGTTTAAATAATTCAAATTTTATTTTGTATAGCAAAGTTATACGTATGGTGAAGTATAATAATAATATAATACGTAATATATAATAGCCCTAGATTTAAGCTAGTTATTATATATTCATATAAAAAATATTTTACTTTTCCTAATAAGTGTCTAAAACTTAATATAAATGTATAATAGTATATAGAATGTCACTATTCATCTATATGTATATATATATATATATATATATATATATATATATATATATATATATATATATATATATATATATATATATATATATATATATATATATATATATATATATATATATATATATATATATTTATTGTCAGTATAAATTATATAAAGAATATAGTCGACTAACTATTGAAAGTTGTTATGAAAATCACTTTGATTGTAAAGACGCCGCCATATTTGATATGATTTAGATTGCGTTCGGTAAAATGTACGTACATATTGCTCAATGAGCAAAAGCGTTGTTTTTTGTTAGCATATAAAAAAACTTATCAATTTTTAGGCGCCCCTAAACTTTGGCGCCCTAGGCGATTGCCTAGTTCGCCTATAGGGTGCACCGGCCCTGTAGAGGAAGGAGAACGGATTTATAAATGTAGAAATAAAAGAAATTGCCCTCAAAAATTTTCTTTCCAATTTTTTCCTTAAAAATAAGAAAAAAAAAAAAATTTCCTTCTTTCCTATTGAAACCTTTAGGGTCCAATGGGAAAAAGAAAAAAAAAAAAAAGAAAACATCGGAGTAGCTGAACTTTCACTATCTAATAACTGAAATTTTTCCTAAGATTCTTATTTGAAATGCATGCAATTGACGTAACAAATATAAAAGTAAACTTGATTAAACTTTATGTCTGCAGTTTACCTTAAGCATCAAAAAGATATGACTACTATAAGCGAACTTTTAAGGTATTTAGTGTAATATAGTGACATTGTTTAATCAATGATATTCATTAGAAAAAAAGGATCTTTAGATAATTAAAATAAATTTATTTAATAGTTTTGTTGGTTTATTTTTTTTAATTATCTAATTGTTTTAACTATTTATATCTAATACATCGCTTTTATCTTATTTTCTTTTCGTAAGATAAAACAAACTATTTGCATAAAACTTTTTGATCTAATCCATTGCTAAAATATATTGACTATACTCTTCCCTTCATTGCAAGGTAATTCATTTTTAAACATCTAAAACATACTGCTTTCAGTTGCAAAAATTAATTTTCTCTCGAACTCTTTTAAAGTTTATGGTTCAAACAACATTCTTGTCATAGATTTTTAATAGTCTATGAACTAACTTATTTAAAAATGGCGTAACTGGGAAATATTTTTTAAACCTCATCTTGAGTCTAGAAAATTCCTGAGAACAAATTAGGATTCGGATTTCCGATTTCCGAATTCTAAATTTTCTACCAATTTATTACCCATTATAAAAAAAAGGTTCTATTATGCATTAGATGGAAAAATAAAGGCTATTGTTTTTGATACAAATCGAAGGGTTTAATAAAACCTAAAATGCAAGACATACTTAAGAGATGATGCATCTGATAAATTTTGTAATTTTATGGAATCGTTTATTTCTGACTGCAGTAGTTAAATTGTTCTTGAAGTCCAAAACTTCTCATTGTTTAATAACTTCAGATGTGCCATAACGATCTGTCTATGGACCTATTTTTTTTCTATTTTAGTTTTTTTATCTAAAATATGATCATACTGACATTCTTATATATAATTAGTCGTGATACAGCCTGATGGTAGTACAACTATATGCTCAAGTCATGTTAAAAAGTCATTACTTTTTAATCGATTAGAAGAGGAAGCAATCTTGAGCATGATTATTCTTCTTCGAGACTTTTAGTTTGAAATTACTAGTGATCTTCAATTTGAAAAAAAATTTGCTTATACTTAGTTATTATCTCAACGATGCTGGTGTTAGCGTTGATGATACCAGCGTTGTTGGTACATGTTAAGTAACGACAAATCCTGTATGAGTTTGCTAATGATCTTCTTCTCAATTTTTCTTTCACAAATAGCCTTTCATGAACACTACTATATGCAATCTATATGCAACTTATTGCAAACCAGCATTTGCTATGTTTGGCTCTTTTTATAGAGCTCCCTATTTTAATAATTCTTATTTCATTCTTAACCTACATAAACCTTGTTTGTCACTCTATTAAAAAACATGGTCATATTCGGGATGGTTCTAATGATTCTACTTCTCGACTAGACAAAGTCTAATGACGTTTTGTAAACTTAACCATTTACAATAGCCTGATTACAATAGCTGTCATCTATTGCTCCGTCAGCAAAAATCAATCTTGTGTGACTTTTTAAAAAGTTGGACCCCTTTGTTGGACTCTTTATTTTCTATTCATCTTGTTTTTTCCTCTAGTTTTTATTCTCGCCCATTAAATTTTTTGAATTCTCTTCCGTTTTCATGCTTTATTTTTTTATTCATTTTAAATTTTTAAGTGCTTTGTTAACCGTTTTTTGCTTTTTACCAATATTCTTAGTTTTCTGGTGCTTTCCAACTTAAAAAGTTGCTGGTTGCAGCCTTGTTGGGATTAATTTAGTGAAAAAGAAGTGAAAGACTTCATTTAAAAAGTTTTTAAATTAAAAAATGGTTTTTAATAGATAAAATTTGTGTTGAAAAAGAATTAGACAATTCTAAGTGTTTTTTTACCTCAACGTCTGTCATTTTCGATAAAAGATATTTTTTTAATACAGATATTGTAAATCTCTGTGGATTAATAACTACGATGTCTGCAAAGCAAAACCAAAAGTAAGTAAACTGTGTTTAAATTTTTTACTTAATTCATGTTTAACAATAATGAAATATATTGTAAATTGAAAAATAGCTGAATGCATTTTCTTATTATTAGTGAAATAAATATTCGTGTAAACATGAAAACAGATTGTGCATGTTCTATTCAAAATGTAAGTTTTTATCTTCAACCCGAACCAAAGTTAATTTTCAGAAGCTTTTTATGGGACGGAGATTTCAGTTTAAAGGACATCGTAAATCAGATTGACAAATTCTATGCCATAAAGGTAATTTACTTAATATATCTATCTATCTATCAATCTATCTATCTATCTATCTATCTATCTATATATATATATATATATATATATATATATATATATATATATATATATATATATATATATATATATATATATATATATATATATATATATAAATATATATATATATATATATATATATATATAAGTACAAATTTATATATATATATATATATATATATATAAGTACAAATTTTGGTCAAATTGAGATAAGTACGCAGAAAAACCTGTTTTTATTTATATTTCATCGTGCATAAATATGGTATGTGTACGATAAACGATAAAGAGTCTAGTAATTGACAATATATTATTGTCAACTACATTTTGTCTTTCTTCGTTTAAAAAAAGACTAAGAGCTTCAATTTTTATTATAACTTTATCAAGTGATAGACTTTTTGTCTGAAAAGCTCCTTTCCCATGATGCAACTGACACGCAAATAGTTAAGAATTATCTTAAGGTAAGAGAAAGCATTGGAAGCGTTTCTGTGAAGTCTTATTCTGTTATGAAAGTCAAAATATCTAAAGCTGTCCAATTTTTAACTACTTCCAAATTAATTCCTGCTGCTTTAAGATGTCGCTTGAGTCATGGAATTTCCAAAATTAGTTCATCATGGGATATTTCATCATAAAATGAAGTTAATTTTTTAATAGATAACGTCAAGTCAAGATAAATTTGAGTATTATTTACTTCTTCCAGTATATCGTGGCAAAAATACAAAAAGCTTAAAAATGTATATTGACACACTGCCGGCAAAAGAGATTCAGCTGCTCCTCTTGTATCTAAATTTTCATTGGTAATGCAAAGAGCTTCAATTGCTTCTATAAATTTTTCAAAATTCTTTTGAAGAAGTTTAACGGCGTTATAATGTGCACTCCAACGCGTGGTCGACAGTCTTTTCAGTGATATATTGGTATGCTTTATTAACATTTCCCACCTATACGTAGAAGCAGCAAAAAATGAATAAATTGCATCAATTGTTCCGATAAATGTGACGCAAGATGCATTTACTGCAAAAGAATGCTGACCACATAAATTTAGGGAATGATCAATACATCCATTAAAAATTGCCTTATTATTTTTATCAGAAATAATTTTCTGTACACCTCCGTGGATTCCAGCCATTGTAGTAGCAATATCATATCCCTGGGAGAGGTACATCATTATATCTAACCCATCAGATTTTAATTGCTTAAGTATTTCAGTACTTAAGTCCAAAGCCTTTTTTCCTTTTAATGGAAAAAATCCTAAAAATGCCTCTTTTATTTCTACCTTTTTATTTTCAATTTTAATATATCTGATCACCTCAGACATTTGATTCACGTGAGATATATCAGGAGTGCTATCAAACATCATGCCGAAATATCGCGCGGATTTTATTTCTTCAATAAGTTTGTCTTTTACGTGACTTGCCAGACAACTGATAAATTCATTTTGATTTTTTGGGGAAAGATACCCAACCTTGGAATAACTTTCCCTTAATTTAATTAAATGCTCCTTTAATATAGGGTCATACGTTGAAAGCAAATCCACTAATTCTAAAAAATTACCTTTATTCAAAGACAATTCATCCTCCTGATGTCCACGAAATGGTAAATTTTGCTTAGCAAGAAACAAAGTTACATCAAAGAGCCTATATAATATGTTTCGCCATTTTTTCTTTTCATTTTCTGTTAAAGAAATATTTTCGGCATCGATTGTTTTATTAGATTTTAAATTTGTTTCCAGAATCTTCCATTTTTCCAAAAATCGCAAATGATTGTCAGATGATTCATGCTCATATACTTTTGGATTTAATTTCCACTACTTTTGAAATCCAGTGACGAATTTTGATGTCAAATTTGACAAATAATCGACAATAAAAACAGTATAAATTTTAACTATTGGGTGAATATACCGTCAATGAACGTAAAATTTTCACCATTTTTCATTTGTTTATAAAACCATTCAGAGGAAAGGTGACGATCATGGCCTTTCATTTGAGTGACATTTCGTTGTACTACATTAAATGGTGCATCTTTGTTTTGAAATGTAGAACTTCCCTTTTTAATAATCTCAATTCGAAGATGGTCTTGAAGCGGTAATTTCCTAAAAGAGACGTCAGAAAAGATTTTGAAGTTAGTTTTTCCATCATGTTTCTCTAAATCGGTGATTTCTAATACTTGTGGAGATTCAGCTTCATTTTTTTGGTCTTTTTTTTCCTTCTCAACAGTAAAGGTGCTATTATTAGAAGCTTCATTTTCACTTTCTTCTACTACTAATGGAGTTTGTATCAAAGTGCTATCTTTTAAAGAGCATTGGCCGTCATTTGGGTTATCTATGTATTGAAGTATTGACCCTGCATATTTTTTAAGGGATTTAAGTTTAGCTTCCTTTAATTTTCTTTGTTGATGTCGACTTAATCTCTTCATTTTATACACCCCACGCGGCATTGTTATACAAAATATTTAAAACTTTAAACTAAATATTATAACAAAATTTTAAAACATACAATTTAAGCACTAAAAACTTTTTAAATTAAATGGTATTTATTAAGCACTAAAAACAAAAAATTAAAACAATTAATAATATACGAGATTGTTACAAAATGTATCTATTACAAAGTCACTATAACTTATGCACAAATTTTATAAAATTTTTAGTAATATGTAATATGGCAAATTTTTAAAATTGTTATCATAAACAAAGAATATGTTTTCGAATGTTTTAGTTCGACTTAGATGGTTTTGATATTCTGCAATGTGATGCAGTACTAACATTAAAAAAATATACGAATAAAACTAAGAAAGCTGATAAAGTGAAAAAAGGTTAAAATCGCACCCATAAAGTTATCCAAACCCAAACTTGAGTATGTTTTGATTATGAAGAATTTAAATATATATATATATATATATATATATATATATATATATAATATATATATATATATATATATATATATATTTAAAAAGAAAAAAAACTGTATCTATGGTATTTTAAGTTTCACGCCTATAAGGCAATCATCAACCATTAAATACAAAATCAAAATTAAAAAAACCCGCTAAAAATTACAAAATACTGTGTAGTGAGATCTTTACGTTGCTAGGACGCAACTAAAGAAAAAACAAAATATTAGCTAATCTCTGCTGTGAAAAAAAGGTAAGAGAAATATATTCTTATGCTTGGAATATAAAATCAACTCATTTCGTTTATTTAACAAGTTATTACGTATATATGTTAAAATTTATCGAATAAGGAAATATTGCAAATTATCGAATAAGCAAAGATTGTATGTTTTTGAAGAAGCGATATAAAGATTGCAACGTTTTACAGTTTTTCACTTAATTAAGGGTGTAAACATTTTATCTTTTATGTCCCAAATTTCTTTAGACAACTTGGTATCTTTTTTATATTTATTAATGTTAAAAGATTTCAGGTGATTAGCATACCAAGATTTGAATGGAGTTTTACATTAGCCAATATATACTTTTTCTTTTTAGTCAGGTTTATTTAACGATGCGGCTGCTTGATAAACTATGTTCTTCGTCGAGCACTGATTGTTCATGGGACAGATGGATTTGTTGACACAGTTGCATGTTTTTCTCTTATCTTTACCTTGACCATATAATATCATGTGATTGTGCGAATTAATGATGGACTTGATGTATCGCATACATGAGTAGCCTATTTTAATGGTAATTTGATTTAATATCTTACAAAGTTTGTAACCAACCGGAAATTGCAAGTCTACCATCTTCAAAAAACAACTCCCTATTTTTGTTGCAACATTGGTACTGAAATGTTGGTTGTACCAGATTATGTTTCGTATGTGATTTTTGAAGAGTATTGGCTTTTTATTTGAATGGTAAGCGAATTTGCAGACAAAACCTTACTTAGATAATTATCTTGATAAGGAGTAATGGATTGTATAAAAATATCGATTTGTATAAAAAGTAATGGATCGTATAAAAAGTAAGAATCGATTGACAACCATAGTTCAATAGTTTGAGGAAGGCTTTTTAGTATACTAGGAGGATGGTTAGATTCAGTATTTATATAGCTGATGGAATTACAAAGCTTAATAAGGTTGGAAAAAACTGTCATTAATATTAAAATTTAAGTCCAGACATTTAACAATTTTAAAATTACTGCTAATGGGTATAAGAAGATCATTATTTTTAACAATTTTCACAAAACCCTTATAACGCCTCGTCAAAAATTTGCAATATTTACTTATTCAATAATACCATAGAAAAAGTTATTTTCTGTATGTCTTTATCTATGGTATTATGGTATTATGGTATTTTCTATGTCTTTTTATATGGTATACACCATAGAAAAAGTTTTTTTTTCTATGTTTTTTATGGTATTCGATAATACCATTGAAAAAGTTGTTTATATATATATATATATATATATATATATATATATATATATATATATATAAAATATATATATATATATATATATATATATATATATATATATATATATATATATATATATATATATATATATATATATAATATATATATATATATATATAATATATATATATATATAATATATATTTATAATATGTATTTATATATATATATATATATATATATATATATATGTATATATATATATATATATAAACGTTTGTGCCTTTTGTGAGTGTATATTTAAATGTGTGCATGCAAATGTGTGTAATTTTTAAATTATGAAAAAAAAAATGTTTTCTACAAAATATTGAACTTTCTTAAAAACCATTTATAATTTTTTTTTAAATTATAAATCATTCAAACAAATAATTGTGATTTACATTACTTTACAATTTTTTACTCAAGTTATTAGTAAACCCTATAATATTTTGTTCATTTCCATTTCTTAATAGTGTTAATTTTCAGTTTTGCATACTTTTTTAGACTTTACTTAGCTTAAATTATAATGCTCAAAAAACATTTTTTTTTTCACTGAATATAAACTTGAGATAATTTTTATT